CAGGTGAATAGGCAGATGTAGACTTTTCCAACTTCTTTGTGGGCATTACGCACGTATAATGGTTCGGCATAGTCAATTCCCATCACCTGAAAGGGTTGGGACCCTGTGACTCTTATATATGGTAATGGAGGAGCGTTAACTGAGCGAAATGGTGGTCCTTCTACTTTTCTACAAGTTACGCACTTCCTTATTTCCTTTTTTACTAACTGTCTGCCTTTAGGTATCCAATAGCACTGCCTGAGTTCCGTTAAAGTTTCACGTACGCCGCCGTGCAAAACCATGCAGTGAGTTGCTCTAACAATAAAAGTTGACAAGTGACTCTCCTTCGGCATCAATATTGGAAACTTGGTGTTGTGTGGAAGTTGTGCGTATTGAAGCCTTCCGTGACATCATATCAAGTCATCATCATCTAAATAGAGGCTAAGTTGTTGTATTATTGCTGGCTGTTTGCTTTTAGCTTTGTCTTTGATTTTAGATAGGATGTCTCTATAGTAGAATTGTTGTACAGATTGGAGTAGAACGATGCGAGCGTGTTTCATGTCTATGGTAGTAATTGTGTCAGATTTTGTTTTCCCTCTCAGTTTCCCGGTGAAAAGTATAACGAGCACGGTAACTCGTAGTGTCTTGTTCCAGGTACTGTATTTGGTGATGTCGACGACGTTCAGTAAATTTGCGCTCTTTTGTGCGCCTGCGAGATTAACGCTTATTGATTGGGTCTCCGTGTAATTTCCTCTGTTGTCTTGTAACTGGTTGTCATTGACAGATGGCCATTCCTGTGTTTGCTTTATAGGCCATGAGTGTCCTTGATTCCAACTCTGCTGTTTAGATATAAAGTCTTTAACGGGTAATGAGGTCTGCAGGATTGGACCTGGTCGGGCAGTATCTCCACGTACTCTGCGAGGTAATGTCTCTAATCATTTGCACTCAATGTCGGATAAACTGTTGTCGTAGAGGCTTGGATGAAGATATCCATGATAACACAATTTGTGAGTCACTCCACAGTATAATTTGCGATGTATAGAACTTTGAAAGTATGGTATTTGATAGGTATTTAGATAATTCTGCCCCGAGTACTGCTGCAAGTAGTTCTAATCGCGGCATTGTTTGTGGTTTTATGGGTGCTACTTTACTTTTGCACATTATGAATGTACATTTTGTCCCACTTTTAAGGGTGGTTGCCCTTAGGTAGGCTACCGCTTCGTATGCTAGCTGGCTGCTGTCACAAAACACGTGTAGTTGAAATTCACTGCCAACATCATTGAAGTATTGTCTGGGTATTTCCAGTTGGGTCAGATATTGTAGTTTGTTCAGCCATTTGACCCAGTTCTCCTTAAAGCTGTCAGGAAGTTCTTTGTCCCACGGTAGGCTGTGTTTCCAGAGTTCCTGCATCATTATTTTTGCTTTGACTGTCACTGGTTCTACAAATCCCAAGGGGTCGTATAGTTTTGAGGATAAGCTTAGTACTGATCTTTTGGAGACTTTCTGTATGGTTGATTTCTTTGATAAGTTTTGCTAATGAAAGTGACAGAGTATCTATCTTTGTGTTCCAATTGACGCCTAGGACTTTGACCATTGGCTCTGTGTATAATCCGTCGTCTTGAGCTTGGCGGTTTAAAACAGGGGAGTTGCTGGTCCACTGTTGTAAATTCATACCCGCCTTTTGGAAGCAATTTCTTGATGATGTGTAATACTGTAGGGCTTCAGGTTCAGTGTCCGTCCCCGTAATAACGTAGTCCATGTAAATGGAACGTTGTAAATCCTCTGATATCCAGTCGTCTTGTTTGATGAGGTGATGCTGTATTGTAGCATTCAGTAGGTATGGAGACGGCGCGGCTCCGAAAAGTACGCAACAGAATCTGTAGACGAATAGATTGTCTGGATTATTCGCTGGTTTGTCTACATCTTTGAGCCAAAGAAATCTCATAGCATCCCTTTCTTGAATGTTGAGCTCTATTTGCAGGAAAGCCTTTTCGGTATCTGCAGTGAAGGCTATCTTGTGAGATCTGAAGGTGAGTAACATATTTTGTAGTCTTTGTATGAGGTTTGGACCTGTATGAAGGCAATCGTTGAGGCTTAATGCCTTTGCGGATATCTTTGCTGAAGCGTTGTAAACGATTCTCACAGCTGTTGTGCTGCTATCCTTGAAAACTGGAAAATGGGGCATGTAGTGCACGACTCCTTGATGTATGTTCGGGTCGAGGACTTGTTCTATAAACCCTCTCTTGAGTTGATCGAGCAGCTGTTCGTTGTATTTGTAAATAAGCTCTGGGTGTTTTTCTTTTAGGGTATGTTTCAGGTTGCTTAGTCTTTTTCTCGCCAATGTGAAGTTTGTTGGTAGGTTTTGCTTGTTGTCCTTCCATGGGAGTCTTACATTATATCTGCTGGTAAATTTGTTAAATTCAACAGTGTCTTGAAAATGTTTCTGGACATCTGTTATCTCGGAGTCATTGCATACATCTGGGATTTGACTTATCTCCCAGAACTTAGTGAGAGTTTTGTTAACGTCATCGTTTCTTATGGGATGTGTGTCAATCATTTGACATGATATGTTGAGTGTGGTTTCTGTAGTGGGTTCGTTGTTGGGTACAGGTCCTGAGAGAACCCATCCAAACTTGCTTTGTGTGGCCATCCATCTCTCATCTTGAGATTTCTTTGTGTTTCCCAGAATGATCTGGGTGTAGTGGTCGTTTCCTATAAGTATATCTTTTAGGCGATCACCTTCCATGTTTAGTGTATCGGCGAATGTGAGAGTTTTGAATTCAACAGGAATTTCCGCCTGTTGGGTGCTTGAGAGCGGTGGGCAGATGATGGGTGTGACTAAGGCTGTTATTGTGACGCCTTTATTTACCGCGTTTAAGACAAGTGTTAAGACTTCGTAGGATTTTGGAGTGCCTTTGGTTGAACCAAATGTGGCTACGTCTAGTATCTCGTTCTGAACGGCTTTCAAATGTAGCTTTTTCTTGAGGTATCTCCCATTCGTATCGGAGCCTTTTGGTGGCTTGTGTATTTGGCGCGGTCGAGTGTTTGCGAGTAAGGCGCCAACTGTGGGTACGAGCACGTCGTCGACGACTGAGCTTGTGTCATTTTCTTGCGTAAGTTGACTCTTTTCCCTTGTTTCTATTTCATGACAAAGCGCTGCTTGTAAATCATTTAGGGAGCAATCTGCCTGAGAATTTGTTCTGA